TCTGAGATCTTTGTGTTTTTGTGGTTGAATACCCATGGAAATACCCTACTATGTAATAAAGCACATCAAGCTGGAATAATAGTCTTATTTTCTCAGTGGTCAACATTTGTGTTTGCCATGAACACAAGAGTCGTGCACAGATAGTAATATGAATTTTGAGCGTCCAATTTTCAAATTTCAAGGTTTTCATATTTCTAACAACAAACTATTTTACCGATCGGATCTCTCATATGTCAATGTAGTTCATTATGGTCTATGATTATTAATAAATTTTAAATGAACAGGCTCTATCTCTAGGAATGCTTTGAATTGCTATTCTAAGTATTATTCTTTCTGATACTCAAATCAAACAAATTAAAGTTAAATGATGACAAAAGTTTTAAACAGAATCGTCGTCGAATGATCTGTCTGCTATTCTAATACAAAATTCGGATGCTGTTGATCGCTCTTGCTGTAGTGGTAGTTGTTGCATCTTTGTATCCACTGTACTCGAATACGGATTAGACTGAATACGTCCAATGTCAAGCTGTTGGTTTTGAATGATTGAATTGGCTCCTAATGACGATATTAAATAAGAATAAATTAAAAGAAAACAAGCAAAAAAGAACTTAATTGATCGACAATTTAAAAGAAACGAACCAATCCAATTGATTTAGCGTGATTTACGTACTATCGAAGGTTTTTTTTTTAAATGCTTAATCGAAAAGTAACAATATTCAGTATAGACAGATCTTGATAGGTGGAGTGAAATTGCGCTGGAATCAACTTTTTGTAATTCTTTCTTATGTGGAAATATAGAAGTAGCACAAGACAATATTAGTAATTCTTCGCTTTTTCATTGCTGGTTATCTAGTAAAATCAGTTAAAACTCAACAAATCAATCTCGTTGGAAAAGAATGAGAATAATTTAGCATTGTTTCTGGTGAAAGACAATCTAGAGAAGCCTCTGAAATATTGTTTTCATAATCGAGATATTGAACCTTTTATTCGCTCAGCTAAACTTGTAAAATATGAAAGCTATTTAGTGACACCAGTGACTTATAAGATGCTTTCACAGAAGCCTTAACGTATGAAGTAATCTTGGCAAGAAATAGACATTCTGATACAAGCACATGAACATCGAAAGAGTTTTCATTGAGGACTAAAAACGTGGGTATTCGTTTCTACTATGGCAATGATCTTTCGCTTATATGACAATCCGTAGTATATAACTAGGATCATTTTACGTGAGCCACTACAGAGTACAAAAAATGAATATGATAATGATATTTAATTAGAAAGAGCAATCAATCTATCGGTGATGTTTCTACCAAAAATATAGATGAATGAGGTTTATCTATTTGTCACCTTACAAATAATATAGTTTTGAATGTAACTGTTTCTGGATGTAATGAGCAATTGTCCCTTCTGCAGTTATAGCGAAAGCATCCGCCAGGAAAGTGTTTTTTTTTATGAAATCAATAAAAATATTATCTACAATGATGGTATCAATTGAGCGACTCTGATCATGACTCTCGTGTCATGACATCTAGGACTTTTAGCACCTTCAATCATATCTATACAATTATTATGCTTAAGAATGTTAACAATTCTTATTTGATATTTAGAATTTAATCTCGAATCCTACATAGTATTTTATATGATAAAATCTCTAATGAACTATTGTCCCTTGACTCGTAAATAAAACCCTGAGCTTACTAAGTGTATCACCAATCAATGGAGGTGTTGATTTACCCATTTTTGCATTTTCCATGACCTGCATCATCCAATCCAGTGCTTTGTTTGCCTATATTCACGTTCAAAACAGTAGTATTGCATGAGAAAAACGGATCAGCCTTACATCTTTCATATTTCTCAGCCATTTCTGAGAACGTTCATCCATTTGAGTGAATTTCGATTGAAGTTCAGTAATAGTATTTTCCATCGATTGCAATCGTTCCCTAGTCTCATTGTGTGAGCGTTCTATAGCATCTTGCAAATCATTTATGTGATGTGTCATGCGTTTTGATTCATCGACATTGGTTGATGATGTTTCGAATCTATATGTAACAATCAAATATCTCATAAATGTTTAAGTCTGAGGATCTTTCCCAAACTTTCAACAGTTCTCGTGTTCAATTTTTTCTAAACCATAGAGATTTTTAGGCATACGATGCTCTTAGATATTTTTCAATAACAGACCAATGAAGGTCCATATATACATATATGAAAGTTGTACGGGATATTTTTCACTAGAATTTCTACACAACAAAGTTCAACGAGTATTCAAAAGTTTCATTTATGTATTTTTTTTCTCATCTATTGTTTAGGAAGTAGCTATCCGTTGAAAATCATGCGGAAGCATGAAAAACTACGTCAATAACATCAGTGTAATGCTTAGTTTAGTCGAAGAAATTCAAAATAGATGGTCGCCTTTTTATTTACTTTAATGGCGGACATTGAGTATATTCTAACGGCTACTTCACGTGAAATAGTCCGATGATGAAGCCAACTAACCAAAATATACGTCTTCTTCATCTTACATCAGGACCGTACACATTGTACAATTCTGTCTGTGAATTTTCCTAATTCATGCTTTGCAGATTTGTAAAATAGCAACTGTCAAATTCAGTCCATAACGAAAATCTGAATGAAGAACCTTGCAGTAAAATTTTCACTTTTAGTTTCTTCCAAGACAAGAAAGATAGATGAAGGATACTAAGACTCTCTTTAATCATTATGCAAAGATTAACATCGACTAATTGGATTCAAAACAATTATAATCAAGAATGTCAATTAAATCTAATCTTATTTTTTTTATTAACTCCAAGATTCTAATCGAATTCAAGCCGTTTTTTTGCAACCCATAACTTTTCATCGAAGATAATCTAGATATTAATGCTAAAAATTTCTCAATGAATGAAAATAAATCCTCAAAACTCACGTTATGTTTGTGTTCATTGCATTTGCAAGAGTAGTTGCTTGGGTATCGAGTAATTGTCGAATGTAATCATTCGTTGAATATCGTTCGAATTCTGACCATGCATAATCAACAGTATCATCAATTGGAATCATTTCTGAAAAATATATAATTAGATAAACATATGAAAGCTTCAATGAGATATTCATTTATTTGATTACGGATGTCAAAACTTATAAGACTGCTTACTGAAACATCTCGATTGCTCGTAATGGGAGGCTTTGTTAGCAGAACAGTTTCTGTAAAACATTCGCAGACACCATTGAAGACATCGTACAATTGAGATGAGAAAGGTGAACGGAGGAAACAAAGCTGGTCTAGCGTGGTAATTACGAATGATATCACAACGATCGTAGGCCCATATATAACGTGCTTGTGTTTGAATGTCAGTTATTGTGAAACTAAACGAGGTTTTATATAAACGGGTTTTTTAGGTTAACTTTCTCGTGTTTACATACCTGAACAAGGCAATTAATAAGTTAATCAGTAGTATATTGACGAAAAGCATATGAAAAGCGAATAGGATATGGGTGGCTGTATTAGTACTAGCATCGGGTTTGCCTGAAGGAAGAAATAAACGAACATAGAGATGAAGAATTACTCGATTTTTTTCAAGGAATATTTATACCGTTCAACTTTTCAAGTTCACTATCAAAGCTGCCTAAAACAAAATAATAAACTGGGTAGACCACACTACGAAAAAAGTGTCGGCTGCTGAAATCGATGGAGCCATAAGCTATCATGGATCTTGATGTAATGCCATAGGCAAAAATAAAAATTACGATAATTATAATGAATAACAGAAGGTTGTTTGTCTAGAAAGGTA